AGCGCCTTAGGTAGATCCGAGAAATGAAAGTCGCGGGAACCCTCCAACGGAGTTTCCAAATGGCCCCCATCTTCTTCCGAAGTTCATCCAATCCCTGCCCATAGCCCCATAGCAGCCCAATGGGTGATTGAGCATTCAGCTACATTACCTACAAGAGCTTACAAGGGTTGCAGGGGCTCCAGACATACCGAATTGTCCCCAAACACCTCGAAACGAATTCCACACCAACTCCCACGAGAGACGCGCGATTCTCAATTGCGCCGTCCGGGGGAGGGACAGTGAACAACCGCAATCTGTAGAGCACCCCACGGGAAGATCGTAATCCATGTAGCCCATGGGGCGAGACGCAAAAAGCAAAGCACGATCGCATCCTCTGCGAGTCAGAAACGCGAAGCGTAATGGATGACTATGAAGACGAACAAAACGCAAGCATACTTTTCAAGCGACCATCTCTGTAGTCCTGGCTCTGGCCATTCTGAACTGACACCGAACAGGAAGCGAATCTGACGCCTCAGAAGTTCCACTTGCACGATCTGCTGCGGGCTCAACGAAGATCATAGATCGTCGTCACTGCAGTCATCAGCTTCGTAATCCATCTGCAAAGGCACCGTCGGGCGCATCTCCGAATGTGGGATGGGAACGGCGAGGGCAAACATGAATACGAATCCAGCGACCATGAGGTTCATCCCGTTGCCTGCAACGCGCGTGGCTTCAGCGGCGGTAAATTTCGGCAAGATGGATGCAACCGCGTTGTTAATTGAATTGTCAGTGAGTGTGCCGTCGATGGCAATGCCCTGCGCAAGCATAATCTCCATTGGCGTGAAGAGGCGCTTGGCCGCTGTCGACCAAAACATTGACTTGCGGAGCATTGGTGGGCACGCTGTATCATAAGATGCGCGCGGGCATGGATTCTGTGACAGGTCAAACACATAATGTTGCATCTGTGTATCGTCCTGCCCATCATAAACCATTGACAAGTATTCAGACAATCGAATTTCACATCCAGGTGGCAATAATTCCTTAGCAGGGATACGATTACCGTACCAATTGCGCCGCCGTTTCTTACATTGCCCCATCACCATACTCCTTACATTCTCCTCGCTGTCGACACAGAAGCAGCCACCATGCAACACTGAACGTTCACGGCGCAATAGCTGCCGCAATGTAGACCTGTGTTGGGAGAGGTATTGCAACGCAGTTGATCTAACAACACATTCTGGCTAAACCAACCCGTTGAAAGACCCCCCCCCCTTGTGAAACTCCAAAATGACAGAATTATCATCGTCATGCGTGGTCTACTTTGAACATGTGACCTCTCATGTCTGATATTGTCTGACCACCCAGCAAAGCGAGGCTTCTTGGCCATCAGCGTCCACTTTCGAATTCGACGGGAAGGGAAACCGGAATCACATGGGCTGATATCCATCACAACAAAATGATGAGTCTTGGCCATTGCCTTGAACAGCCAATCCGCCTCGAATAGCGCAGTGCACTCGTGGATGACAATGTCCTCCTGCTTGTGCGCGCGCTCAAACAGCCACGTCATGAACACCGTGTTGGTGGCGCCACAAAGCCCCGACCGCTCGCCCACTTTGGACCAGTGGGTGCAAGGCGTGCCTGCGATCGTGACTCGCAAGACGTTTTCAGATTGCGATGCGATCACGGGCACTCTGTTGTAGGCACTTGGATTGTCAAGCGCTGCCGCCATCTTCGAACAAATCTCTGGGCTGAGGCGGCGACGAATCTCTTTCTTGGCGATGCCCAGCTTGACCATGCCCTTGAACTGTTCGTAATGGGTCTGTGAAATGTGATCGATCTGTGTCTTGGCATGCTCTGTGAGCTTATCCAGGATGTCACCAAGTACCCTAGTCATTGTTGACCTTGGCCAGGCTTGTAATACTCGCCGACAACGCACATCTGATTCGCATGCCTGCGGGGGGGCCCTTCCCCGCCCTGCCCGGGCCCAGGAAACATCAAAGTTTCAGGAGGGCTATTGCATGTGATTGGTTGTATTTTCAAGGTTGTGGTTGGATGTTGGGGTTGAGAGACTCTCTTTGGGGACCTACCGAATGCCTCAGAGTAGATGACATTGCTTGTCAGACCACTGCTCTGGTGCACCTCTCTCTGGATCAAGTCGGCGCCCACGCGGAAACAATCAATTCCTGTGAAGGCAGAACTGATCTCGATGCCACCTGATAGGCGCTCACGCATCCTGTCATAGAGGCCCTGACCTCCACGCAAATTACGAAGGTCCCGCAACAACCGCGTTGGCCACGCCGACAAGTCCTGGATTTCACGAGGATCGATTCGGCACGCCATGCGCGCCGGGCCAAGGGAAGCCTAAGGGGCGAGGATCCTCTGGTTCGGGCCGTAGGCTACGGCATAGCCACTGTGACACTGTGAAGAGAAGAAAACCAGCGGGATTCTTCAAACGGCGCTAAAGACAACGTAATGTGTTGATTCCGACATTTTTGGAACCCAAACGCAGTACATCCCATTGGACTCTCTCAAACGCTTCAGAACGCACCAAACGACCAAGATACATCGAAGTTCAGCAAAATCAAATGAGAAAGCAAACAAACATTTGAAACCGTAGCTTTTCATGACATCTTAATTTCGATTCAAAACATATGAAAACGATATCTGGAGGCTGTTGCTGCCACCGACGAAATTCAATTGAACTCGCCCGAACGGGTTCAAAAAACGCTGCGTGTTCAAACGCCCTGGGGCGGTTTCAAATGCCGTTTCAGCGTGTTCAAATGCCTCTGGGGCGTGTTCAAACGCGATTTGCGCACGCTCATGATTTGAACCTGTTCAAGCGAGTTCAAACCTGAAAGCTGATATGTCAGCCTGCTTGAAAATTTCATTTTTCAAAAAACTAAAGTTATTTTATTCTAGTTGTTTCTTGAAATGGTGGCGAACAAATCAGAAATCATAGCAGACAACATGAAAATCACCGGATGACTGAAGATAATCATTCAACGAACAAAACACAACGCAACCTATCTGTCTGAGCTGTTTTTGGCAAACCTGTCCTGAAATTCATTGAAACCGTGAGAATATTTTCCAAAATGTCGGAATCGATCGTCTAGCATCAATGCGTTGTTTCTTGCCCTCTTCCGGCGCCGCCCTCCCTTCCCTCTTCCGGCGCCGCCCTCCCTCCCCCCCGCGCTCTCTGCTTCGTCCTCGGGCCGATTCCTTGAACCGCTTCTCTGCCTCATCCTGTTTCTCCCACAGCGTTCTGCCGTTGACCCCCAAACGTCTTATTGTCATGATCTTATTATGGGACTGAGAGACGGATCTCGCCAGAGCTCGCCAGTTCAATGAGATATCTCTGACGCAGCTTTGCCCCCGCATTGCCAGGGGATGGGGGGCTTGCTAACGAGGGAGAGGATGAGGCAGGGAGGATACCAGAAAAGGAGGAGGAGAGCAGGAGCAGGAGCAGGAGCAGGATCAGCAGGGAAGGTTGAGGTCGAGGAGGATGGGGTTGAGGTCGAGGAGGAAAGGAGGAGGTTGAGGTCGAGGAGGAAATATTCGTTGCAACACGCAGTAGCTTACCAAGAGTGACTCCAGGAAGCGATTGGGCTGGGCGACTGCAAAATCGGTTGCCCCGTGCCCATTCAAAGATCAAGCACTAGCTCTGAGAGCATCGATGTCGACTCGACTCTGTCCCTCTCTCTCTCTCTCTCTCTCTCTCTCATTCTCTCGATGCATATCGTTCGATGTGCAACTCGGTCGCATGGATATTTCAAGAGAAGGGTCTGAGTTCGAGTTCCCAGTAGCCCGACACTCGACTTCGTCGGAACGTCGGAATCGACGAATCGATTGGCGATCATCCACTTCGATTGTGGACACGCCATCAAAAAATCGAATATGTAAAATGATAGCAGACACCAGCAGGCGCATTCTGGCCTAGCCCGGGCCTGCCGCTGCTGGAGCCGCTGCAGCGGGGAGACCAGCACGAGCATCCTCACTAGCCTGCCACTCGCGGCACTGCACCTTCGTAGGGCGCATCTCCTCCAGGGTCTCGAGGGGAAGCACTGGCATTTTGCGGGGGTCGATCCTCTGGTGGTCTGCTTTGTCCTCCTCCTCCTCCTTCTCATCCTCCTCCACCTCCCTCCTCCTCTTCCCCTCCTTCTCCTCCCGAGGTTGAGGTCAAGCGGTCCTGACGGTTGAGGGCGTCGCAGCACCACGTGTAGATTATGACCAGGGTCTCCTGGCAGCATTCGTCTGTATCCTCGACGATGGACAGCGTCTTCTTGCACGGAGTGCCTGCAGCTGTCTTGCAGTGGGCGCAGCACGCGGCCTCCCAAGAAGCCTTCTCGTCTAGCGTTTCGGGCCTGAAGGTAATAACGAACGGCCCCCATATGTGGGACTTCTCGTGCCTGAAATGGACAGAATGGGCGCCATCACTACCACTCGAGTCGTCTGAGTCCGAGTCCGAGCTCGACGATGAGGAGCTCGTCGACGATTCCTTCGAGGACGAGTCAGCCTCGCCAGCGCCACCCTCGCTCTCGATGTCCTGGTCAACATCCTCCGCCTCGTTTGACTCGCCCTCGTCCTGGGCGCCGTCAACGCCGAACAATTGGCAGTCGAGGTCATCTGGCTCTCTGGCAGGTGGGGCCTCCCAGCGGTGCATCTAAATGATGTTTGATTGGTCGATGCAATTTAACGGTGGTAGGTAGTAGACAGAGTGTAGACGGTAGTAGGTAGACAGCCATTCAGAGCCTGAGTCTCCGAGTGACATCGAATCATCGCATTACGAAGAGTGCGAAGACGACGCCAGGTCGCCAGTCTGAGTAGGGCTAGGCTCTCCTGTAACCTAAGTAGCAGTAGAATCTACATCAACCCATCTAGGTGTAGGTGTAGGACCTTAAACTGCTCGACCCTCTCACGACAATCATTTAGAGGACCGGGCCAAGCTGCCTCGTCGCCGTCCGCCAAGATGCCTGGTCCTGCAACTCGACGTCGCTTGCGACGTCGTTTGCCATGTACGATGCCTTTCTCGGAGAACTTGGCGTAGTACGACATCTGCTTCAAGTGCCAGATCCCGTTCTCCCGGGTCTCGTCGAAGCGCGGGCGCAGGAGTTTCGCGGTGGCGAGGGCCAGCAAGTAGAAGCGGCGTGGAATTGCACCGCGTTGAATCCAAAACTCTTTGGGTGCGTCGTCAGGCTTGTAAGGGATTATCGCAACATCCTTTGTCTTGAGTTTGGCGGTCCAGCCTTCTCCGATCAGATGCGTCCACAGTTCCCACCCTGAGTGCAGGGCCATGCTCCTGCCGACCCTCTCCTTCAAAGCTAAGACAGGGTTGCTGATGGAAGTGATCACGTTGCACAGCTGCAGCCCCTCCCAAGTCATTATCCAGTGGGAGCTTTTGTCCGTCATCTCAACGACTTTAGCGTGCCCCCACGTCTCGAGCATGGTCAACTTCTCATAGATGTCGTCGTCGTCCTTGAACTTTACGTTCAGCGTGTTGTCGTTGTGGGGGAGCGCCGCTGCTTCCAGTGGCATGTTGACAACCTTGAGGTCGACTTCATCTGGCATGTGCACTGCCGCCCATGGCGCAGAACACCCCCCTGCATTTGACCACTTCAACAATTTCTGACGAAATTTATTCTGGTCTCCGAACAGAGTGCCGCACCGCAGTAGAGCTGGGGACCCAGACGACCCATTGCGCCCTTTCACCCTGGTGAAGGTGCGCTTCTCCACTGTCACCGAGCACTCGTCGCCTGCCTTAATGTCGGTCAAAAGGTTGGCGTCGTCAATGTCGACGAGCTGGAAAATACATATTGCGACGTCTGTCCTCAACAAGGGCGTCTTTGTGACCCGCTCGGTGGGCAGCGTCTTCTTCCTCGGACGATGGCTGAAATATACGACATTCATTGGAGGATGGGAGTGCGGAGGAGGTCAGAGAGAAGAAGGTAGTGGAAGCGGGATGGCAGGATTGCGGAGGAACCCGCTAGTAAGATGAGAGCGTGAGCAAGGGGATGCAGTAGGCAGAGGGAGTTACAGGACGAATTAGGTTGGGGGGAAAGGGTTTAGGAGGAGTGAGGATGGTGCGAGAGGCGGAAAGGCTAAGGAGTAGGAAGGAGGAGGGTAGGAGTGGGGAGTGTATGAAGATGGCTCAAGGAGGACTGTCCTTGACGGCTCCCAATCCACCACCGAAAAGAATATGTGATCACCTTTTGGAAGGAAATCGCCCTGACCGTCTTCTGCGTCGACATCAATGACATCCGCATCTTCCACAAGCTCATCACCCCCTGCAGGTCCAGCGCGATCATCGTTGTGTAAGCCTGCAGAGGTCATAGCTAAGCTCTGCATCACGATGAAGTCGCCATCGCAATTGTCGAATGCACCAGACCTCGGATGTGGTATAGAATAGATTGCATTGGCATCGCCCCGGCATGTCTCCTTCCAATGTTCGAATGCATGCAACTGGTGGGCGAACATAATCGGGTTCGATGTGACCTTGGCTGGCTCCTTGTGTAGCAAACCTGCATGTTTGTCGTGCTGTCTCTGCTCTCTCTTCCGTCCGGTTTGGCCTTGATTAGTCTTCGCCAGGGCGGTGTATTGGTTGAGGGGATCAGCGCGGTAGACGATGGGCCAAGCTTGCTTTGAGGAAATATTTTCGTCTGGCCATCCAAGCTAGGGTGGCGAAGCAAATTGTGCTCCCTCAGAACAGCTGTGGGATTCTTGATATCGTCCAGGTACCGTGCCATCTCGCTGAATACCTCTGGATCTTCCAACGCGTCCAAAATCTCCTTCTGGCGAAACTCAACGTCGACAGTAGGCGCCTTAGAGCCTGTTGCACGAACGACAGCTCGCTTGATTTCTGCGCGAGGCCGTTCCCCCATGCGATCGTTGACCGAGAGAACGCCGAAGCGACCGATGATCCTCTTGAAAGCAGGCATGTCGTCCAGCACCTTCTGCCTTGCGGCAAGCAAAGATAATATCGCTGAGCACGGAGAGTCAGGCGCGCAGAAAATGTTTAATAGACGATGGTGCAGAGCAGGAAGGTCACCCCCTCTGCGTGCATTGTACTGCCGCAAGCACCCCCTAGCACCGTCAGCAACGACACCCTCATCGTGGTGAACCAGCACGCACAGAAGGTGCGGAATCTTGCCCCAGAAGTCGAACTTGAGATCGAGTTGTTGCATTGTTGCAGCTTGCCCCAGTGAGAAGCCATGAATTACATCCTTCCGATCTTGTGGTAGCATTTGGGCTACGTCGCCAACAAGTGCGCATTGCGCAGCCTCCAACAAGCATCTGGCTAAATAGTGCATGTCCCCTGAGGCCATGGAGTCGGCCCTCATGCCTGCCATAGGGCAGGGCGTCGCCAACTTCCGCGCATTGCGCCTGCAGGTGTCACGTGGTCGGCCGATGATCTGCAATAAGTCCTCGGACCTCAGATGGCCGCGGCGAATGCACGCGCCGAGCGTGATGTGCTCGTGGCATTCGCACGTCTCCGACCACGCCATTAAGAACTCAGGTACCTTCGAAAGCTTCTGGATGGCGTAGCAAAGCCCCCAGAACTTGCTGCTACCGATCGCCTCGGAAACCTTGTCGACGCTAATCTTCTCCTCTTCGTCATCATCGTTCTTGGGAGCGTCGTGATCAGCTGCTGCTGCATCTTCTCCGCCTGACCTCTGGCATGACTCCTTGGACCAGATGAATTGGCGCGCTTGCTTTACAAGAAGACAGCCGGCGCAACAATTAACAACGACCTCCCACCTGTGCTCAATCAGCTTCGGGCAGACCGCGTCGTTGAAATGCGATCTGAAGATATTAGTCTCAGGGCTGGCGCAACAACTTGCCGCAATCTCTTCCTAGAGTCATGCTTGTGCAGAAAAGGGGCATATGATTCAAGAGTCCCTTCGCCCAGTTCCAAAGTGGCAAGGATTCAGTAACCGTGCGCATGATGCCGTCGAGGATGTGTAAGTTGCCCGGGGTGACGAGGCCGAACGGCATCATGTTGGAGAAGTTGGATTCAACGCCAACGGATGCTTCGCGATTCCACACTCCATCTTCTCCAGCTCCGTTGTCATCAGAACCCTCAACATCGACCATAACAGCGCGAAGTGGGCCACAGCCACGTGGAAATATGTCGCGTAAGTCCAAGCCAATTGCAGACCCGAGACCGCTCTCTGTGCCAAGGTCAGTACAGGCGTCGACTGTCTCAGCAAAAATCGTCTTGATCGACGGGGCGCCCAAGCTCTCCAAGTGAACGCTGTGCAACCAGCATGATGACTTGTGTGCAAGACCTGATGCTCCTTGCCCGCCGCCCGAGCAAGTGAGCGGCCATCGATGGTGCCTCACGGTCGATCTCAGCTGGTCCTGATCTGAGTCAATTTGGAGCTTGGGTAAAATGTTCAAGATGTTTTGTTGAGTATACACACGCCGTTCTGCGCATGCATCTGTTTTTTTTGGACCCCCCTCCATTTTCAAATGTTGTTGTGGGTATGTGTTGTTTGACCTTCTCTCCTCCAAGTCGGCGATGCTGCTCTCGTTGTTGTCATCATCCTCGGGGGAGTCCGAGATGAGAGGTATATCGCGCCTGCATTTGATCACCTTGGAAATGTCGTCCATGTTGATTTCGAACGAGCTGGTGACCATCCAGTCGACGCCAGCCTGAGGGCTACTGTCAAGCCACCACACCCGGGCAACGCCCAACGACTCGAGGAGAACGATTTGGTCGAGTGGATCTTCCGATTTGAATAGGTGTGGTAACATTCGGTCATGTGGCCGATGCAAGCGCTTCCTATATTTCATGAACACGGTATCCAATCGCAGACGTAACCGACTGAACGTCGCAGCCGACGGGGTAGTGAGGTCCTCGGGAGAAGCGGACTTTGCTCGGGTGAGTTCCCTCGCCTTCTCTTCCTCATCGTTCTCATCTTCCTCATCCTCCCTCTCCCCCATCATACTGCTCCTCCTCATCCTCCTCGCATTCTCCTCCTTCTTGCCCTCCTCTTCTTTCCGTTGCCTCCTGCCTATCATCGTCCAATCCTCTTCCTCCCCCCTCATTTGCCTCCTCTTCCTCCTCCACCTCCGCTCCTTGAAGTACACCATGGCCGACTCGCGCATCGCAGGTGGCACCGCCGCCATCAGCGACCCAGTCATGACATCGCGTAGGTAAGCGTCTCTGCGTATCTTGTGGGTGACGGCGAAGCACTGCAGTAAAAAGTGAGACTGTTACCGCTTCACGCATGCAGTCGAGCTCGGTTCGGTCGACGTGGCAATGGCCTCCAAGCATCGTACATTCTCCTCGAATCGCTGCTGCGCGCCCTCCTTGTAGGTCGGCGCGTCATCGACGCAAGCGATGGGACTGAACTCGTTGGGAGGGCGCCACTGTCTATTAGCAATCGGTGCCGCGAACGGGCTTCCAGGGGCGAGGATCTGCTGCGAGCATGTGCGGATGTCGTCGGCGATGCGACGCAGAGTCTGGCCGTCGAGAGCAGGTGTCTCCTCGCAGGAGCAACGCCGAATGACAGCATTGACAACTGAGCACATCGTGTCACTCTCATGGCAAAGGCATCTCCAACACAGCAGGCACACCAGCAAGCCTAATTCGCAATGGCAGCACGCCTATGCTACACCAACAACTTATTATATCCCTCACTTGAAACCGCCCCTGGTGTTCAAGCGATTGGCCTTGAGGGGCTCTAGGGCGGGGTTCTGATACAGGCGGCCACTCTCCAAGCACACGTGCACAACCCATTCTCCTCAGCTGGCCCCGATGATATTTGATCATGCCGATGTGTGTCCAACTGCAAGTTACGGCCAGACGGGCGATGACTGCGTTGCACGACACGGCCACCATATCCTTTCGTCCAAGACCGATTGCACACGTGCGCAACATAAAAGGAGGAGGATCGGTTTCGGGGGCCGCAGGGCACGCGTCGAATCGGGGCGGGAGGAGTGATGCGAGAGCACATTAGGGCACAGGGAATCAGGAAGAGTAGGAGGGGGAGAGGAGGTGGAGGAGGGGGCGGCGGAGTATATTGGAGGAGGATGAAGACCCAAAAGGAGGATGCATTATTGCTTGCACTGGATCGCACACGTGCGCAATCAATCGTTACGCATGCGTCCTCTTTGTTGACCGTGCGGCAACCCCAAGAATAAAAGACATGGCTGACCTCGCAAGTCTCCCACCTCCCCTGCATGGTCATGTAGTGGACCTTCGATTTCATCAGGTCGTCAAGCTGCAAAGGCGAGATCTCTTGGATCCGTCGGTTCGCGCACTCTGGGCTCAAGTTATTACCGAACATGGTGGGATCGGGGGCAACCTCTGCTAGGCGGACGCGCTCTACCAAGGGCACCGCTTTCAACGCCTTCAGGGAGGCCACGCTCTCATGGCCATGATCAGAAAATAAATCCGACCTCAACGGGATCACCCCAAGAGGACCTCAACGG